CTCCTGTCCCTGATAGTCTGTCTGCGCACACTCAGTAACAGCCAAATGTTGATAAACACCGTGTTAAAGGCCTAGACACATTTGCTCACCCAGGATCTTAAATGCTTCTGTTGATTAGGACCCAAGAAAAAAGGACAAAAGAAAAAAACAAAAAGGTTTGTTGTCCATCTTGTTTATAAAATGCTTGAATATCTAGTGGATCCAAAGGCAAACTGTGAATGCTGGGCTTGTTGGCCAAGTAATTGCTTTCTAAAATCTATTGCCCAGCTTCACATGGAGGATAATTCTTCCAATGCTTCCATGGGAGATTTAGCCTCACCCCCCTCAAGAAAGATCACTGGCTTTTAGTGAGAAATATGAGCACAATGCAAGTCTGAGATCATTTGATGGTTTTTATGTGACACGGTACACATGAAATTAAATAAATGCCACTGTCTTCCTGTCCTTTCTGTCCAAGTCTCTAATTTCTCTGCGTGTACCTCTAATCCTTCCATTTATCATTTATGAAAGTCACTCGAAGATGAAGTACTCACTCATTCAAAGCTTTTTTCTTCCCTTTTTTTTTTTTTTTTTTTTTTTTTTTTTTACGAGCTTGATATTGTGGGAGGGAAAGAAAATAATATGAAAAGGGTGGGAAGAATGATCACCTCTAAGGAAAGCAGTTTACTATTTCAGGAGCAAGGCAAAAATCATTTTGGATGCGCATCAAACATGCAACACAGGCAAAATATTTCATTTTTATCTTTCTTCCCCTCTAAAATAGCACGTTTGGCAAAGCTGTCCCTTTAAATCCACTCCTAACTTTCTCACTTCACCAAGTTTGAATTTGCTGTATTTCTCAGCCCCATGTGGTGGTGTGGGTGTCAGAAACACACAGGTGATGTCATTTTTCATTCCCTAACCCAGCGTTTAATTGACACCATCATTCCACACACCTCCTCCCACCTTTCTTCCACCTCTTCAGTTTAAACCTTGTTCTCCCTGCCCTTTTGGGTCAACACACTTCAAAAATGTGTTACCTCCAGCATTTAAAGTCTTCTCTAAGAATGGGAAGCTTTGTGACACCTTTTCATTTTTACATCCTGGTTGATATGGAGATGAAAAACATGTACAATATGGTTTTACTTTAGTAATCGTTTCCAGTGCTAATCTCTTTGGCATACAAAAGGAAGAGATAACACAGTATCAGTGGCGGAGAGCAGACTGACCATGAGTATACACTGAATTATGACGATCTTTTTGCCTTCCTTTTATTAATTTTTTTTTAATAAACAAAACACATGCCTTATAAATTATCGCTTCTTCATAAAATTTGGTGTTGGAATATCAATTTTTTATGTAGCTATATTAAATAAATCATGGCAATAAACCCTTGGGTAAGGTATTACCTTTCATCCACTCAGCAAAGGCTCCAGGGGAAATAGTAAAATTTTTGCCTTTTCCCCCACCAGTGGGATATTTCATTACTAGAGGAAATCCAAGTTTAGAAAAGAGGTGGTTGGGAGACATACAAAAGAAAAAGGCAAAAACTTATTTGCATTGACAGAGAAAAGGTCTCAGTAGCCTGGCTCCTCTCTTCTTCAAAGGATCTTCCTGCTCCTAGTACCCTAGGGGATATTCTGAAAAAGGAAAACAACAGCCTGAAGACCAGCACGGATACATGGACTGCACCATGGATAAGTGTCCTTGGGACTGTATTGAGAACCAAAAGTTAACCTGTGAAGCAAAGCTCTTCCTCTGCATTGTCTTCACCCAAGTGAATGGGGACATGTGCTATATTCAGCTGTCATTTCTTGTCCCCAGCTACATCTGACTCATAAATGAAGACACAGATAAAACCACCTACTCATTTCAATGTAGCTGTGATGGTTGTGCTGGCTGGGAGGTAACAGGTAACATCTACACCACTGGAGTAACTCAGGACCATAAGCCAGTCCTTTCAAATCGCCAGGCCTTCGGGATTCTGAGATTGTTAGCCTGTAGTCTTTTAGCTTAGTTAGTATCTCTCTAATTATGGTTATATTAAAGATAGTTGCCTATGATTACCTACTGACTCAATTAATGAGATAAAGTAAAAATGTGAGTGATAGCATATTGGGCAATTCAAAGGTTGAAAGGCTATATCGAAACACATCTGGTCATAATTAAGATTAACTGTACAATTTCATCTAGCCAAACATAATTACTTGCAACTAAATATATCTCAGCATAGCTGATTGACACATATACCATATAGCCATCACAAGCAAGGGACAAGATGTAGAGGGCTTGCAAGAAAAATAAAGAGAATGCTTCCAGGAATAGGAGAGAAGGAAAAAAAAAAAAAAAAGGAGGGGGAAAAAAAGAAAAAGATGTTGCTGTTAATTAACTCCATACAGAGCTTAAGATGCATTTCTTTAAAAAAAAAGGTATTACCCATCCTAGAGCAAGGTTTTCTCTTACTTGCTTCCAGAGTGTCTCTTCTATCAGGTTAAATGCAGGTATAACGCATCATTACAGTGGCTATGGTTTTGTCCTTTATTGTGATCAGCTAATGCTAGGAATAGAAAGAGTTACTGAAAAGAGGAAGAAAAATGGTGGTTTTAGTGTGTGCACAACAAGAATCAGAAGAAGTGACTGATGGTATACACAGGAGTTGGCAATTTGTCAGTGTTAAACCAATGTTGAAGCTGATTAGTTTTTGTCTAGAAGTGGTACCTACGTGTCCTGCTGCACAACAAGTGTTCTCCAAAAGAAAAAAAATCTCTTTGAAAGGTGATGTGAATAATGTTTTTAACCACTACTACCTTCGTTCTCTTATCTCTCCATCTATTCAACTATTACTTGAGTAAGTGTTGCGGTTGTGCAGCTACGTGTTTGTGGGTGTCAGGGACAAAGAAACTTGAAGCCTCACTTTGTAATTCATCAGGAGTGGGAAAGAAGAAATTCTTAATTGGAAATTGCTTTTCACTAAATTTTTCCTTGCCAGGAAAGGCTGACTTGCCATAGATGCCATACTTCACCATGAGCTTTGCAATGATGCCAGTTTCACTGAAAAGTCAATCTCTTTACTACTATATAGAAGCCCAGCTGAGCTGCCATCCATAGCAGCACTCAACTAACACAATTCAAATAATATGTGATTCATCGATTATTGCCAAATGAACTTTTGCTTCTAACTTTGAAAAAACTTAGAGATGAAACTCACTGTAAGGGCAGCTGAGCAGATTCAGTTGGAATGATGAGAAAAAGGAATACTTACAACTCTAAGATGTACGGAGAAACAGCTGGGCCTACTCTGCTTTTTTCTTTCTTAAATATTTTTTAGACTCCTGCAATTGTGTTTACAGCACATCTCAACATAAGGTGCCATATGGTATTAGACTAGTGGGTGCTAATATGAGACAACTGTGTCTCTGGGTACTCCTTTTCCAGTCATCCCAGGAGCACTCCAAGTTGAGGCTTTAGCCTGCAGACAACTGAAGTTTGCTGTAGACTTTTCCTGGTATCAACCCAGGTGCTTGGGTAGCCATCTGGCACACGAATAAATTAATGAACATTAAGACTATTCCAAGCCTGTGCCTTTCAGGAAGATGTATCACCAGGATGCTTTGTGATACTGTTAATTACTACAGAGGACGTGGAGGCTTTGGATCTCAGATTGTCACTGCCCGTGATGGTGTAGGTCTAACTGCACTCAGTTGCTCATCCACATTTAAGCCCCACAGCCAGTATGTAGCGATGAGCCCGGGTTTCCATCTGGAGCTGCCCGCTGGGAAGCCACCTGAGCATGGGGAGAGGCTGGGGCACTCTGTCCTCATCCCTCCCCGCAGCACAGGAACAGCTGGGCTGCGGCTGCCAGCACCAGCCTTCGCTTTTGTTTCATTTCCCTGTCTTATGCCTCTCGCTTATCAGCTATGCCCCACGCCTTAGTTGGGGACTGTGCTAAAAGCACAGCCTCTTTTATTTTTTCTATTCCTTGGAGCCTGCCGGGTGTGTTGCCCAGGTGTCGTACACGTGTGCATCTGAGATAGTCCACACACAAGTCTGAGAAAGACAGTCTCTGTGACCTCTGCTGTTGTCATGACTTGAAAGCATCATTCAATACTGTTGATCCAGCTGGAAGCTTTACTGGGTATATTACATACACACACACTCTGTTTCATCATTTTCATGGAAATAAAAGTCTAAAATGGAGATAACTCAATATCCAATGGAACGGATATTGATTGCTTTCCTCACCTTTGGAATGAATACCTTCTCCTCAGTAACCAGCTATAGAGCGGAAGCCATTGTTCATCTCAAACAAGCAAGGCTCAGTAAATCTTAATCTTACTAAAAGATAATTCTGAGAGGAGTCCAGAGGTGGTACAGTTCAGTAACTCTTCAACCGAACACGACAGTGCCTTACTGTTAGGTCTACTGCTTGGGCTATATTTCTAATGTAAAAATTGTTTAACTGTGGGACTAAATTCTCATTTTAATAGCAAAATTGTTTTCATAGTCTTCCATTTGTTCTACTTATTGAGGGAATTCCACATTTCTTTCATTGACCATTTTGACTTCAACTTATTGCAGCACCTACCTTATGTCACTCTTGTCAAGGCTGACATTGAGTGTAGGAGCTTCCAGCAGAGTATCTCCATGAGGCTGGACCAGAGGTCCCTATGATCTGGTTATGGTTGCACACCACAAAGTACAGAAGCAGCATATAGGTACTTGCTCCTAATAGTGTCCCTTCCTCTCACCATTTTCAGGTCAGAGGACTGCCTGAATCAGTTTGTGCTTGCAGAAGCCCTCAAAAGATCTCCCATCTGCTAGTCCTGCCTCATCTCTGACCCCTGAAAACTTCTTGAGACTTCTGAGAGCATACACAAACCGTTTAAGAACATAACTTGTTATTAAATGCAAACCAAAGCAAGAAAGCAGAGGCCAACGGAACATATATTTGAAATTTTAAGTTAGGTGGCTCTCATTAAACTCCAGATGTAACACGGAGAAATTTGTCTCCTTGTGCTTACCTAACCTCCTGTGGGGTACACTTCTGTCTCAGCTGGGGTGAGAAGATGACTGCTGTCAGATGTAGCTGCACATCCATGGCTTCTGTCAGTGACAGCTACCAGAGCCCCTGCAGCCCAGGGAGCCTCCGTGCCCGCGTGCGAGAGAGGAGGCGGCCGTGTCTGCAGGGCTGCGGTTGCTCCAGCCTTCTCGAGGGCACCGGCGTCTCTCTCCAGCGCTGGCAGTGTGTGACCCTGCAAAGTAGTGGTGCAGCACATCAACAGGTCAGCTACGCAGACACTGATATCACAAGCCCGCTTCCATGTATTAGCTCAGCCCCGACGACCCAGGCTCCCAGCCTCATTCACGTATCTGAGCTGCTGAAGACCTAGGCCTGTCTCAGGAATTTGAGGATCTGCAATCTGACTGCAACCAGGTGCTTAAAGCTGAAGAAATCTGTCAGTAAATTCCAGACTTGGGTCCCTATTCTAAGTTCATGCTAGAATTATTTCCTATGAATATTTTACAACCCTTTTAAAATGTATTCATTTTGCACAAATACTTTTTGTATTTGCTTCCCATGAATATTTATGCAGCTGGCTTTTGCTGTGCAAAATCTGCATGGGAAGGTATTTTAAATTGCTCTCTGGTCTATTCACACTGGCACTGCCTTCACACACTCCCCATCAGGGAGCAGAAATGGCACAAGGTGCCTTTTGGGATCAGCTGCTGCTCACTGTTGAGCTCAGATCCTCCTCATGTAGCAGCAGTTTCTTTTCAAATGCACGTTAAGTCTTGTCTTAATGCCTCCACATCCGCAGACAGATAACATATGAGTCTACCTTTCTGGCCAGTGCATCAGCTGATACAACAGCAGAAAAATGGCATTCAAAACAAGTGCAATTGAACAAATATCTCATTGTTTGTGGTTGGGTGTGTTAGGAGCTGCCTAAAAGAGGCTCTTATTTGAAGCTTTGTTTTGCACCTGCTTTAAGATATTTGCAATGTGAGACCACTTAAATTATATATCAGACTGACACAGGGATAAATCTGTGTCCAGGAAGACACAGTAATTGTTTTCCTGCTGCTACTCGGTTCTTGTTATTCTGGCAATGTACTTCCTAGTGGGCAATTATGGAATGACCTGCATGTAGAAGAAATTAATTTTTATCCAAGATAATTATCAATCGGTACACCCATAGAGCTTGATGACATATCTCTTCTTCTGTATACATCTTCTTATTTTCATGCATCTATACATATGATTTTTATATTTTATAAACACCTAAGAATAACCAATAACATGCTCTATTTGTGTTTATATGATTATTTTAAAGATACATATTTCAGACATATAGTTCAACATCTGTAGTCTATAAAAATGTATTTACTCATATAATTTAAAATTATATAGAGATTACATAATTATATCTAACATACCTAGGGATTTTCTTCTTATCCACTTGAGCTTCCTTTATTTTATTTCCTCATAAGTGTTACCTGTGACTCTATGTGGCCAAAGAAAATTTGTGGTTAATATATTAAGTCTGTGTTTGACTGTATTTTTTTTATACGTATATACATACACATAACATTATATGCATAGATAATACATTTTCTATATTATACATTAAGCATATGTACATAATACAATGCACTGTAATGTAATACAGTATAATGTAATGTAAGATATAATACTTTAGAATATGTAATGTCATATAACAACGTATAAAAATATAACATATAGAACACAACTTATAGAACCTAGAATATGTAACTTTAGACATGTAATACATAACAGGTAATATGTAACATGCAATATAATGTATTATGTACAATGTATAATGTATGATATATAACATATAGTCTTTATAAGCTTTAACAATTGCTGCCACCTACCATAACTAAATCATGTTTTATTTTTTAAAATCTCATTAAAGAATAACTCTCTGAGCACAAGTATGCCATTAATTACTTTGTCTAACAGGAGCTTGTTCTGCCTGATTTATCTCATCCATGGTAAACAGGTACTGTCATTTCATATTCTCTCCCTATGAAAGTTTCTCTATGACACCAATCATTTAATCTCCATTCTCTGAAGACCTGTTTCTGCCATTCATTTTTTTGAGATGCAGCCAGCAGAACACGCTATTCAAGATGAAGGAGTACCGATTGTTAAAATGGCATTCTGTTACTTTTTCTATTAATCTGTTTCTTTTTTAGCTGTGTTAATGTTCTGGTTGCTATCCAACTGCTGTTGTACATTGAGCAAAGGTGTTTATGACTACAGATCCCCTTCCCCAGTGATCAGTTAATTCAGACTCCAACCAGGAGCAACTGCTTAAGTGTTTCCTGACTGGTGTTGCTTAGTACTGAATATCAGCTTTTTCAAGTGTCCATTTTAGTCTGCCTAAGTGGTGACTGATTTGAAATAAGGATTATTATTTTGAAGCTGCGTATGTCACGATTTTTTGTGGGGTCTTTCTAACTTGATCAAGTAACAGTAGCATGAACAAAAAAAAGACTCCCGTCTCCCTCACTGTGGGTTCCCCATCAGGGTTTACATTTTGGAAATGCTCTTCCGCACTACAGCACCAGCTTGTTCCTCCACTACAAAGAGATGCTGAGACCACTACGGCCTCTGATGCAGGAGGAATGGGCTCCGTGTGTTGCTGGCCTCGAGGCACTCACAGGTTTCTCTCCACAGCTCCCAGGCAGTGGCCAAGAGAGACCACAGCACTTGAATTTCATGTTAATGAAACGCAGGCAGCCAAGGAAGCAACGGCAACAGCTCCAAAGCTGTATTTGCTAACCAGAATAGCAAAATAAAACAAATACTTCGTAGTGAAGTTACTACTGCAATAACTTTGTCACATACCATATTGCTACAAGAAATGGACTTCAGGGTTTCCCCCCCACTGCACTGGATACCGGAAAACACCTCACTGTTCAGCAGTGCCAGGGACAGGCTTTACCCACCCAATTTCTGCTCATAAACTGATGGACTGACATAGTGTTTTCATAACTGAAAGCTGCTCATATGGTTAGGTTGTCCACACTTTAGTCTCACAACATCTCACTTTGGCTGCATGATTTGAAAAGACATCCCTCTGTGTTGTGGGGGGATTTTTGTGTTGCATTTTCCTCTGCAAATGGAAATGGGGTGTTACGTATATCTACATCTATAGTCTCTGAAGGGAAAAGAAATTCAAGTAGTGGTTAAAAAAATAATAAAATTAAAAAAAAAAAAAAAAAAGAAAGAAAAATTCAATCAAGCAAGTGCCATTAAAGGCTCATTTACATACCATACTGATGCATAGCAGGAAAGTTGTATGTGGTTTGAATCTAAAAGCTCTTACAAAAAGTAACAAACACACTGTCGGGTCTTCATTCTGACACTGCTTTTAGTTTCCATGACTTTTAGGCAAAACAAATGTTTTGACATTCAGTGCTGAACAGAAGCTAAGCTACACTTTCAAATCAGGGTAAGCATCCTAAATGACCCATCTCCTCCTTACACAGAGCAAACACACAAACCCTAGGTTTGATCACCTGCTAGGGAACACCGGTGGGTAAAAATAAACTTCCATTTTCTGCACTTCAGGCTTGCAGACTTGTTGTTCATTTTTGAGAGGGTGTTTTTGTGGTTTTTTTTTTTTTTTTTTTTTTTTTTTTCCCTTTTTGCAGAGAGCACATTACTGTCAGTTGGAATACTAATGGACATCAACATAAACATCATCTCCAGGGCTGTTCAGTGAAACTATCTAAGGCTGATTGTCTTGAAATTAGCTTGACTCATATCTGAAAATTGCCAGTGATTAGCTGATTATGGTTTGAATTGAACTCAGATTGCTACAAAAAGCTACAAAAAGTCATCCTCAGATATATTCTGGTAAATTATGCCTCAGATGCCTCAGTTGCTGCCAGCACTTGCATTAGGGATGAAGGTCTATTACCACATCACATTGATGGCAGTCATTTTAAAATATATATTCTGCCGGGGGAGAATCTGTCTCCTGGGAAGAATTCCGTCTTTTTACTTTTTAACCTACTCACTAGGTAAAAAAAAAAAAAAAAAAAAAAAAAAAATATTGAGACATCACAAACAGCAGAACAGATTAAAATATCCTCCCTATGAGAGAAATTTGTTTCCCCTCTGTAAATACAATTATTATAATTACAGAGTGGTTCAATTCTAGTGTCTTACTAGGAATCATCCCTTCTATACTGCTAGTATGTGACATTTAAAATAATTTTAAATGTATCAGAGGCCCGGTGATAACAATGCTGATAGATGTCAGACCTATTTAACAAATGAACAAACAAAAAGAACTCCAGAACATTCTTTTGCCCTAATTATCAAGTTCTGTGAATGTTTCTGGTTTCATTAAGTCCTGTCGATTTAAGGACTTTGATACAAACAACAGAAGCCCTTATCAATTTCCCTGTCTAAAACTACAAAGACATACATTTGTCACGTGTATCTGTATTTCTTAGAGTTGAAATAAGTACAGTCCAGCTTCATGCAAATAAGCAAGTACCTCATTTCAAAACTGGTCACTTTTGAGCTATGTCCTTGCATGGTTGACAGTCTGCTCTGCTCTCAGGTGCCTAATTTTGTTTTCACCCCAGAGAAAATAAGTTCCTTACAGTCTTTGAATGTGAAAAGCTATTTGAGCTCCAGCCTTTATTGCATTACCAAGCATATTGCACAGGGAGATATTCAAATGGTACCTGCAGGACAGGAGTCATATCTTATTCACATAAAAGTGGGCAACAGGATACCGCCATTCCATTTCTTACAGGTATTCAATTTAAAATACTTGCAATTGGTACTTACTTATTTTTTTGGTGCATATTTGTCTTCCCACAGCAAAAAAACATCATTACTTAGTATCTCTGGTGATGAGAAGATGCTAATGAGAGAGAGTCCTGTGGTGGAACCACTCATTTGGAATGTAGGGTTTGGGGTACGGATTAAGGAAACAACAGAGACACTGTCGGATGAACACTAAGTGGTAGAAACTATTATGGGACAAACAGATGAACACTAATTGCCAGGACCAGGTGGCAGTCACAGATCTGTGGGACACCTTAGTTGGAAGGGACCCCAGGAGGCCCCCCCTGCTCCCAGCCCTGCTCTGTGCGGGGGCAGCAAGGATGATAGACCAGGTTGTTCAGTGGTTGTCACCCATCCCATGAACTCAAGGACAGGGTATATGCACACCTGACTGCCATGTGCAATACACACCTTAACACTGTCCTGGAAATAGACACTGGAAAATAGCAGGCTTCATGTTAATCTGAATTTTTACCATTTCCAGGCAAGATCCTGAAGAACAGGGTCCAGTATGACATGTGAGTGTCAGATTTTACAGTAGAGATGAGGTCTACAGGGGAGGTTTCAGGAACCAGTGCAGGCATACTGTCATAAATGACTGGAAAAATGCCTTAATGGGGAGTGGATGACATCTGCTTGTGATAGTAAATGTGGTTCTTAAAGGAGAGGGGCACATGTTCAAGATCACAGAAAGAATTGCTGAGACTTAGTGACACCTGAATGATTAAAAGAAAATTATTTTTAAGAGATTAAAAAAACAGTAGAGGGAAATCAGTGACAGAAATGAACATGGGAGACTCTTCCCACTCCTCTCCAGCTTTTCATATGAAATGATTTTTTCTGTACCCTCTCTAATCACCAAAAAATGCCATACATACAAGCTAGCATTAAGGCAGCATCATCACAGTGATAACAGTCAGACAAGAACAACAAGAAAGGAAATCTGATATTAGGACTCTCAGGCCAGATGCAGATCATGAAGAAATTCCATCATTAGGCATTACATAAATCTCTGTTTTGTCCACATCACAATCACCGCTTGCGGTGATGCCTTTCTCCCTCTTCTCCATCTTATAGAAAGCTGTAGAGAAACTAAAGGTGGTACAAAGTATGATCGGATATCAACCAGCTTCTCCTGGAAGGACTAAGTAAATAAGATCATTCCGAAGTGTAACGTGGTTAATTAAGGCTTTATAGAGGATGATAAATTCTGGACACCACCAGGTGAGGGTTTGTGTCAGGAGTAGTCATAGTTATTTCTAATACAATGATTAAGAACAACTGAAGGAAATAAGAAAATGGCTGCTAGTTTCAAAACAAACAAAAGGAAATGTTTCTTCATTCAGTATGAATTTATGTTGAGAAAAAGCTTTGCTTTAGGACGTTAAATGGCTGCAGAGAATCAAAAACGAACAGAACACAGCCATGGAGGGAAAAAAATGCAGTGAGGACAAAGAAATTAAAAGATGGCATACGTGGCTCAGAAATTAGCTGCCATAAAAATTCTTGATGGGTGGCAAAGTACTCTGGGGACATCAGTCTGCACTTGCCTTGTTCCTAGGCTTATACCCAGGTATCTACTGGAGATATGGTAAGGGGTAAGTTGAGCTAATGTAGCCTGGCCAGCCTCATGTTCTCTTTCAGACCCTCGCTGTGCCATAATCAGCA